TCCAGTCCAGGATGTGGCAAAGAGAGACCTGGGTGCTGTCAAGACTGTATAGAGGGGAAAAAAACCCAGGCCTTCTCACTTCTGCAAGTGAGAAGGCTAATGACTAAGTTGAGGGAGGTGGAGTGGGTTTTCTGAGGGCAAAATGAGTGTATTTATTTGAAAAAAAAAAAGAGAGTCAATCTGAAGTGTGACAGCATGGGCAGGGGTGGCAGGGTGGACATGGGCCTGTGGCTCAACAACAATCTTGGCAGAGCAGAGTTGTGAACCAACAGCCTTCCTCCTCCCATGTGGGCAATCAACCACTGGACTGAGACAACTTTTTTCTCCTGGCTCTAAGTTGCTGGGGTTGAACTATGAACTGCTCTTCATGTAAGTTATTCTGCCTAGGGAATGACTACTTTTCCCACGGTGGTGGTGATACTTTAGTAATTATATTTTCCTAGATAACATCAACACAGAGACTAGCTACATAAACCGATTGCAGCTCAGGATGCATAAATGTGATGAGCTTTCAGGTAAAGAGGAGTGAGGCATAGAAGTTCCATGTCTTCTGCGTATAACTCCTCTAGCCATGATCCTTTGCGCATCTCAAAGCCTGGTCTTATAAAATAGATGTAAAGTACTATAAAACTAATGTTAGTTTTTCAAGGGAACTAGATACTCATTTATTTCTCACCCTTTCAATTTTCCAACAGGAAGAACAATTCTGCTGAATACGTGGCTGACAACAACTGTGGGTTTCCTATAGATCGCTTTCATGACGTCACTGGGAAGGAAATATTTTGTGATGAAAATGTGTTGGTAAATGTACATTTAAACATAATTGTGTGGTTTTTGTGTGGAATCCAGTGCTGAACACACAGTGCTGATATGCTTATGAACTAGCTTGTAGCACGGTCGTTTTGAAAGAGACAAAATTAAATAGTCATACCGTGTCTATAGGAGGGCTTCACTATGGTTTTGTAAGAGAGTGACGTCACTTTTCCAATGACGGTAGAGCAGAGTTGCTAAGTGTCATGCCTGGTGGCCTTTTACAGTCGAGTTAAACACTGGTAGTAGCTATCAGTGCTTTAGGATGAGCAATAAGAGAGATAAACCAGAACCCTGAAGCTGAACTGCCATGAAGCTGGGGAAAGTTTGGATCCCAGGCAGAATTTCCAGCTTGTGGGGAAGTGAAAAGTAGGAACTTCAAAGAAGGGTTTATGAAATCTTAGAGCTACCAATGTGGCTTGGTGTCTTCTGATGCAGAATCCTCTCTGATGCAGCCACCTTTCTGTTCTTGGCTTAGTCAGAGCTATAATTGCTGTGTGTTGTTGCAACCCGTAGGCTCCTATAGACATGCGGTGAGGCTGCTTCAATGTGCTGTAAATCTAGTGTGGTGGAGCATGGAAATGTACATGCTCCAGCAGCCTCCAATGTCATGTGTATCAGTGGGCCCGCATTGAAAAATGATGGCTGGGCGCTTTAAACTAAAGCTCGTTTGATGAGCTTTAGTTCAAAGCGCACTGCCGCGATTTTTCAGCATGGAGATGCTGATACACATGCTGCTCGGGTGCTTTTAATTAGTGTGGCTTGCTAGTTAAGGGGCTTCCCGCTCCCCCTCCAGGGAGCACGTTTATAAATGCCCCTTCATACCAAAGTTGGCTTAGATTCTGGGCTCCTGTGTTTAGAATGTGAAACAGATTTATCCTTTAGGAAACTAACTTTTTGAAAATTTCTAGTCAAATGCATGCTTCCGTAAGCACATTCGGTGCATTACAGCCGTCTGCAATAGGCTTAATTTAAATTGTCCCAAGGTATTACCCTGTAACATGTTAAACAGCAATTTGAAAGATATATAATTATACCCTTTGTGACTGTCTTTGTTTTCCTAGGTGAACCCTCTAAGGAGCTTCCCCGAACCAGAAATCGTGCGGGGTTCAGAATCATGCATTGCAACACATAAAATGCAGTTTGCATCAAAAATGCGTATATTGAGACAGGTGGGTATCGTGCAAGCAGGTTTTAGCTCATTTCCACATTAAACCGGGGACAAAAGGGAGAGAATATTATCTCCGAAATACGAATCTCCAATTTATGTCAAACGCATGTGTAAACTGGTTAGAAAACATGGCAGAATAAAGATCAGCTAGTCGGTACCTTTTACTCAGGAAGCCTGTTGTATTGTAAATGTGCTGCATACCATAACTTGCTGCATACCATGTAAAACCATCCTCCCGGCTTGGGAAATCTGAACACAGACCTGTAGTGCCAGCCAGTTTTTCCCATCTTGTTCCCGGAGCAGCTGTGCTTAGAGTCCCTCCTTAATGTTCACTTGAATGAGCCTGAACTGTAACTAACTTGCCATCTGTCAGGGACTTCACATCACATATTTAGCAATAAGAGGAGATTCAGCTGGGGTGGCAGTATGCTTGAACAGCTTGTTTCCCTCCCACGGGGGGGTGGGATGATTTAAGTGCTAGAATCCTGCATTTGTGATCATGTTACGGACAAAAACTATTTAATAAAACCACAGCTTAAACCAGGTCCAGAGGACTTTGGAGATGAGTGAAATAAATGTGCAAATGGAGGATAGAGTTTGGTGCTGGTGTTGATCCTCAGTTTATGACTTGCTCACTCCCCCACAATGAGCTTTGGATCAGGCTACTTAAAACAAAGCAGAAACCCAGCTGTGATCCCCGTTCTTGTGCTGAGAGTAGCACGTTCCCCCATAAACAATCCCAGTGCAGCAAAACAGGCCGTTTGGGAGTAAGGTGCACCTCCCTATAAATCACCCTCAAATTGTTCCCTTAAGATGATCTTCAGTTTGAGATAAAAACATCATTTGTTCTTCTTTTCCAGAAACAAACTGTTGAGTTGATTCCACTCGCCAGGGTGGAATATGTGTGGAAAGGGAAGTCCAATTCCTTCTACATCTTTGGAAATGAAAAGAAAGTGTATGCAAAGGACTACCCAGCAAAATGCTGCTGCTTGGTCATGTAATTAATTCACTGATAGGTTGGAAGCTGATAACTAGATCTGGGTAAAACTTTTTGCTGAAATAATATCTGTTTGGGGGCAAAAATATTTGCTGAAAAAAGAAGACATTTCAGGAGGACCGAAATTGGGTCACAGCTTGCAAATAATTTAGGCCAAAAAATGGAGCGGAAAATGTTTGAGAAAAATGAAAACACTGGCTTTATCTAAACTCAGTTTGTCATTTAAAAATTGATTTAAGTTTCAGAAGGAAAAAAGAAGCCTTTAAAAGAATGAAATAACCTGAGAATAGTGCAAACTTATGTTGGGTTGATTTAAAAGTTTTTCCTTTATTTTTAAAAATGTTTTCTCCTTACTTTTCATTTCAGCCGCTAAACCCCCCAAATCTACATTTTAGCTCTGATAAGAGCGAAATCATGTTCCTTATCAATCAAAACAGCATTCTTCTTCACAAAAACTGACCAACTCTTTCAGCTTTCATGTTATAGTGGACACAGTGGACTTTGCTCACAGGACTAGCGGAGATGGTTCTCTCTTGATAGTGCAATAACAATTCATGAAGGTCATTTAGTAATTTTAGTGCATCTAGAGTGTCCCTTCCCAAATCTACTGTGAAATGGAAAAAAAAATCATTTGTCATAATGCAGCTTGGAACTGAGGAAGGGCTAAAACTTTGTGCAATAGAGGTTTGAATTAAAATCTTTTTTTTTATTCTCATGGCTCTGCATTATGTTTGTTTTGCAAAATACAGCTTTAGAAGTCTAGCTGCAAAATGTGGCATCTGTATGATGCAAAGGGAAATAAGCTTTAGAGTGTCTGAAGTTAAGAAATATGGATTCTAATTTTCCAAGTACACTATTAATTTGCAACACTAATGCATACAGTCTTCCATGTCCTGAGGCAGATCCCAAGAATGCAGGGGGATATGGGACTCGGAATGATGAAAGAAGGAACACTCCCTCCTTTGCTAAATGGATAGCTGATAGGCATCAAGCCTGCCCATCTCTTACCTTCTATCTTTAAATACCAGATGATGGTGCTTGAGGGCTGCAGGCTATCTTCCCCTGAAGTAAAAGGCAGTTATGCTACACTCTGGTATAGATAGTGTTATCTTTCATGCAAGTGCGCAGAGGAACTCCAGTCAAGTCACTAGAACAGCAAGCAGGATCAGACTTGAAACCTTCATATATAAATTGCTTAGGATTAGAAGACTAGATGCAAATTTTAAGGTACCAAACGAAACAAATGTATCCTTACCAACCTGTATCAGGAATTTAAAGGAATGAAATGTGGGGAGTTGCTGAAAGAAGCTCTGTCCTTTCACAGGTGAATTGTTTTCAATACCTTCTCCATTGCTGTAATAATCCTCCTAATTCAGAAAAAAATATCATGCAAAACCACAAGACACCTAAGTTAATTACTCTGAGGTTCCATTTATATTCCTTCTAGTTATGATTGTTTTAAGTGATTGGGTCAGTTTTCACATCTTATCAATCAGAAGCCTAAAATTTATTTTTAAGAGGGGGGAAAAAAAGTTGGTTATTATCTTTCTACTAGGTAGCGTTTTATATAAAATAATCCCCGAGCCTTGCAATAAAAGCCGAGAATTAGAAATGTTTCATAGATTCATAGATTAAGGGTCGGAAGGGACCTAGTAGATCTTCTAGCCCGACCCCCCGCCAGGGCGGGAGAACAACAAAAACCCCAAAAAGAGAAATGGGACTCAAATGAGTTCAGCCAGGTAGGCATCCAGCCTCTTCTTAAAGACCCCCAGGGTAGGGGCCAGCACCACTTCCCTTGGAAGTTGGTTCCAGCTCCTAGCCGCCCTAACTGTGAAGTAGTTTTTGCGGATGTCCAATCTATACCTCCTCTCCATCAACTTGTGCCCATTACTCCTTGTTATGCCAGCGGGCGCTAGGGGAAACAGCGTCTCCCCCAAACCC